CAGCAGCAGCACCACCAGCAGCATCATCAGCAGCATCAGCGTCATCACCATCAGCATCAGCATCATCATAAGCAGCAGCATCACCAGCAGCATCATCAGCAGCATCAGCGTCATCACCATCAGCATCAGCATCATCATAAGCAGCAGCATCATCATCATCATCGGCATCGCCATCATCAGCATCATCATCAGCAGCATAATCAGCATCGTCATCAGCATCAGCATCATCGGCGTCGTCGAAATCATCATCATCAGCATCATCACCATCATCAGCATCTTCAGCATCATCATCCTCATCACCATGAGCATCATCATCATCATCATCATCATCATCATCATCATTATCATCATCATGACCATCATCATCAACCGTCTAATCCTCATCATCAGCATCAGCATCATCATCACCCCCACTACCACCATCAGCACCATCATCATCCTCATCATGATCTTCATCATCGTCCTCACCCTCATCCCCCTCGTCCTCGTCCTCCTCCCCTCCTCAGACTCCTCCTCCTCCTCCTCCTCATCATCATCATCATCAGCATCAGCATCATCAGCATAATCATCTGCATCAGCATCAGCATTATCAGCATCAGCAACATCAGCATCAGCAGCATTATCATCATCATCCTCATCCTCATCCTCATCATCATCATCATCATCATCATCATCATCCTCATCATCCTCGTCATCATCATCATCATCATCAGCATCAGCATCATCATCATAAATACCATCATCAGCATCAGCATTAACATGATCAGCATCACCGTCATCATCAGCATCACCAGCATCACCATCATAATCAGCAGCATCATCAGCATCATCAGCCTGCCTCCTCCTCCTCATCCCTCTCCTCGCCATCATCAGTATCAGCATCATCAACATCATCATCAGCATCAGCATCATCATCAGCATCTCGTTCATCAGCATCGGCATCATCAGCATCATCAGCATCATCATCAGCATCAGCATCAGCATCAGCAGCAGCATCAGCATCAGCATCATCAGCATCATCATCATCATCAGCATCATCATCATCAGCATCATCCCGTTCATCCCGTTCATCCTCCTCCTCATCTTCCTCCTCCTGCTCTGAGCCGCCCGCGGGCGCGGCGCCACCGCAGGCACAGTAGGATAGCCTGACAGCCGCGCCCCTCGAGCCCAGGGAACGGCCCGCGCTGGCGCCCACGAGGCTCAAGGCTCGAGGCTCGAGGTCCGATCACGGTCCCTCGAGGATCGAGGATCGAGGCCCGCCCCAGGGCCCTCGCAGGCTCGGACCTGCTCCTCCTCCTCCTCCTCCTCCTCCTCCTCATCCTCCAGCTCCCCTTCCTTCCCCTCCTCCTCCTCATCCTCCTCCTCTTCCTCCTCCTCCTCTTCCTCCTCCTCCTACTCCTCCTCCTCCTCCTCCTCCTCCCCCTCCTGATCCTCCTCCTCCTCGTCCTCCTCATCATCATCCTCCTCGTCTTATCATCATTGGTATGACTATTGTGTTTGATCAGTAGTGTTATTAGTAGTAGTATTACGTGTAGTGGCTGAATTAATAACCGTATTACTATGGTTAGTGGAATTTATAGTTTTGTGGTTACTAGCAGTCTTAGTAACAGCAATACGATTTTATCATTACGACTAGTACGATTAGTAATATTACTAATAGTCGTGTGAACAATAGGGACCATAAACTAGTAGTAACCCCATTAGTAGTAGTATCATTATCAGTAGTAGCAGTAGTAGTAGCAAGTGTAGTAGTAATAGTATCGTGAATGTTGCTGCTGGTATCATTTTAGTTATCATTAACCATAGAAGTCGTAATACTGTCGATGCGATTAGCTTCACGATTAATAGTATTAGTAATACTGATAGTATTGAAAATATTGTTCGTTGTAGTTGCAGTAGTAGTAGTAGCAGTAGTAGTAGTAGTAGTAGTAGTAGTATGTGTACTAGTACGACTACTACTTTCAATATTAATATGGTTGGTCTACGTATTTTTCTAAATGAAGAACTATTCTTAGTTGTATGATTACATTCGTACTAGTATTCGTAGTCTTCGTATAGGTCATTTTAGTGTCATAGCAGTGTTAGTGTTCTTATTCGAGTCCTTGGCACTTGTAGCACATGATAATGAATATTAGTAGTGTTGATGATATGGTGGTTACTCTTCTTCTTATGTTTTTATATTCGTATGATTAGTAGTGTTCATCCTCCTCCGCCTCCTCCTCCTCTGCCTCATCCTCCTCATCCTCCTCCTCCTCCTCCCCCTCCTCCTCCTCCCCCTCCTCCTCCTCCTCCTCCTCCTCCTCCTCATCATCATCATCATCATCCTAATCTTCATCATCATCCCCCTCTTCCTCCTCATCCTCCTCCTCATCCTCATCCTCCTGCTTCTAATCCGCCTCCTCCCCCCCCCCCGCGTCGGGAGGTAACTCCTGGGAGGTCCCCACGGGGACGATCAAGGACTATTGAGCCCGATTACGGGGCTGCTGGGTCAGACAGGGCCAGACTGGTCCGAATAGTTAGCTGGATGAGACCAGATGAGGCTGGAGTACGCCGAACTCGGCCAGATTAGCCCTGATTAAACCGAAGGTAGTGCTAACTCCGATGCTGAATTGTCCTCCCAGGTTCTGCACCCCAACATACGCCCCCGCCTGTACGAGGGTGCGGCCCGCAGCCGAGACCCTCGAGCCCACCCGTGCAGCCCGGGGCCAGCCGACCGCGAGTCAAGGCCAGTCCCAGCCAGGCGTCAACCTCCTCCTCCTCCTCCTCCTCCTCCTCCTCCTCCTCCTCCTCCTTTTCCTCCTCCTTTTCCTCCTCCCCCCCCTCCTCCTGCCAGTTCAAGGTTTCTGGGAGGCTCTCGGGCGGGGTTGGTCATGTCCAAACTGATCCCCCTGGCGGCGAGGTGGCACACCAGTGGCCACCTCGCAGGGCGAGGCGGCGAGGTGCGACCAGGCAGTGGCCTGCCTGACTCTCCTCCTCCTCCTCCTCCTCCTCCTCCTCCTCCTCCTCATCCGCCTCGTTCCTGTTCCTCCTGCCTCATTTCTGTTCCAGTTTTTTTCAACGGGCTGGGCGTTTCGCCTGAGACTTCCCCACCACCTATGATTCTGAAGCTGAAAAAATGATAACACATTCACAGATGGAGGGCGGGTCGCTTTTAAAATGTGGCTCTTGCCTTAGCGCCGCGCACATTCGCTTTAAACATTTGCAAGAGCTTCACGGATTGAGGGCGGGTGGCTTTCAAAATGTGGCTCTCGACTTGGCGCCGCGTACATTCGCTTTAAAGAATGTGCAAGAGTTTCACGGATTGAATGCGGGTGGATTTCAAAATGTGGCTCTCGTCTCAGCGCCACGCGCATTCGTTTTAACGTTTGCAAGAGCTTCACGGATTGAGGGCGGTTCCTTTTCCAAATGTGGCTCTCGCCTTAATGCCGCGAGCATCCGCTTTTCAATTTGCAAGAGTTCCACGGATTCCCATGGTCAACGTACCAGAAACGGTGTTTTGGAAGGATTCAGGACTATGCTGGCGCAACAACTATGTTGATTCGCTGTGTCGAAGTCCCAAAAATGGCGTTCTGGCACGGTTCTGCGTCGTCAAGACGCAGCAGACAGGTTGCTACGTGGCGTTGACATCCCGAAAACAATGTTTTGGCACGCTTCAGGCTCGTCAAACTGCTGTCTTCCAACGAGGCAGTTCCCTCAATGGTCATGAACCGTGGTAGGGGCCTATGACGAGGGAGCTTGGAGAGAAGGTTAATTCCAACATCGTTGGTGACCCTTGGGTTTCCACTGGTCCTCCTCCTCCTCCCCCGTCTCTTCCTCCTCCTCCTCTACCTCCCCTCTTCTCACGCTGACTAGTCTTAGTAAACTTGTTTGATAATGTGATTAATATTACTATTATTCGTTTTCTTTTTTACTTCTCAGATTATTAACACTATTTTTATATGTAATAACACTCGTGGTGCTATAAAATGAAGAGTTCCATTATTACTCGTATTACCATTAATATGCGTATCAACACACTTACGTTATCAATCGTAGTATTAGCCATCGTGTTCTCATTAGTATGAATATGTTTACTCTTATGTTTATTGTTCGTACTGTTATTAATACGAGTAGTTATAGCACTGCTACGTGTTATGATCACGATTCGTCGTCACCTTACCCAGCTAGTTAACAATAATACTAATACGATTGTTTCTTCATAATATTAGCATCACCCGTACCAGCAGCATTAACAAAATGGATTGGTAGTATTAGTACTGGTGTTTTCGTCATTAGCAGGAAGAATATAACTAGTATACATAAACTATAGTTATTCACCTGATTATTGATACTACCTCAATACTGTGTGGAAACTCGTATTGCTCTTACTAGCGGCAGATACTCTTAGTACACGATTCGTACTATTACAAATATCATCAGTACTGATCGCCGTAGGATTGTAAACATATTATCAGTAATCGTAGTATAACCATGTTTCTTCTTAGTAGTATTCGTATCGTTGCCAATCGTGTTCTTCGTTTTCGTACTACTAGTAGTGTTCCTCTTCTCGGTGTTACTAATACTAGCATTCCTCGCATTACTACTCATATTCGTTTGCTACTAAAATAATTAGACCTATTATTATGTGTTCTCGTACTATTCGCGTTCGTAATATTAGTGATAGTTATATATATATATATATATATATATATATATATATATTATCCGTGATACTCTTACTACTGGCAAGTGTTAATCCTACGCCTACAACTATTAGCACGATTACGCATTATTATAATCGTTCGCGGAAGAAGGGCGCGCGAAAAGCACGGCAGCATGGGGGTGGAGGGGAAAGAGAGCAAGAGGCGCCCCGAGGGTCTCGAGGAAAGGGGAGGCAGCCAAAGCCATGAAGGAGAAGCCGCAGGTGGCGGGGCGGCGTGAGGGTACGCCCGAGGGGAGGGGGAAGGCTCTGGGGCCAGCTGCAAGGAAACGGCGAGGGTCGGAATCAGCCCATCGAAGTCCTTCAGGCTGAAGTAGTCGCTGGCGCCGCCCTTGTGGAGGGAGCGGAAGGAGAACTGGAAGACCTCGACCGCGTGCCTCCCGCTGTGTGTGTTGCTATACGTCTTACATTATCCACCACCACGCACCACGGCAGGCGGACGCGCAGTTGAATGCCAAATCCTGTCTGGTAGGGCTTCTGTATGATGATAACGGGCCCCTCCCTACCCGCACACAGGTGCGTGCATCGCCCCCCCTCTGCGAGGCCACGATCCCTCGTAAAAGCGAGCCCAACGCAAGCCCAAGTGGGGAAACGCCTCCGAATCAAGCGGCATTGCTTGGCGCTGAGTGGCATCCAACTGCTTCGCTTACCATTCCTTACCATTCCTTAGCAATCCTTATCATTCCTTAGCATTGCTTAGCATTGCTTTGCATTGCCTTGCATTGCTTCGCATTGCTTTGCATTGCTTTGCATTACTTGGTGTTTCTTGGCGTTGCTTGGTACTGCTTGGCGCAGACGGGCAACCTCGGCAACCCGGGCAACCGGCCAAGTGGGCAAACCAACACCGGGAAACTAGGCAACCAGGCAACGTGTCAACCGGGCAGCTGGGCAACACAACTAACGCCGCGCGACCCGATGAAAGCCCAGCAGCCGGGCAACCCGAGGAAGGCCAAGCAACCTGGCAACCCTGGGGAACGCAGGCCGGCGCAGGCTAGCTCTTCGGAAACAAGTAAGAGCCCCTGAGGCAAGCCACACTGGGGAAGTATAGGTCCGCGCTCCCGAGACCACGATCGCTCGTAACAAAAACAAAAATGGTGGATCCGCAGACGGCCCGGGCAGGCAACCAAGGCCACAACGACTGCCCACAAGATGCATCGAAGACGGTCCATGGTGGCCCCCGAACAACCCGAGATGGCCTCAAGGGCCCAGGGGTCACAAGAGAGCCCCGAAAAGGGCCCGACGAAGCCACAGCCATTGACTCTTTTCAGTTTCGAGGGAGGCTGTTCGCATTCTCGTCGTCTCGGGCTGCCGTCAACTGAGGACGGCCTCGTAAGTTTCCTGGATGCCCACAAGACGGCCCAAGAGGACCCCAACATGGCCCAAGAGGACCGCACCATGGCCCAAGAGGCGTCCCAAAGGGACTCCAGAACGACCTAACGCTGCCCGCGAAGGCGCGTCGACAGCCGTAGATAGCGCCGAGACGCCCCCTCGACGGTCCAAAGACGCCCCCCAGACGGCCAAAAGGGCCGACCCAAGAGCGCCCCAAGACGGCCTAAGAGAGCCCCATAATTGACCCATGAGGGCTCCAAGACGGCCCCGAAGGCCCCCCAGGACTGTCCACAGGAGGCCAAAACGGCAACAAGATGGCCAAACGGGTTCCATAAGAGCTTTTCGCAACGCGAAAATGAAAAAGTGTCACACGTGACGGCGTTACTCTTCGCGCTCCTCCTCCCCATCCTCTCCACTCTTAATCCGCACGGCTACGAAAACCATCCCGTGGCTCCACGACCTGAGAGCGCAGCCCGAAGCAGCGCCCCGCCCACGAAGTTGCTCTCCCCGATTCACTGCCAGCCTTCCTCGCGCGCGCGAGGGCATCTCTGTAGATGATGGTGTACATTTGGTTCCAGGATGTGTTAATGCCTCTCTTGTCGCCCACGCCGGCTTGGCGCAGGTGTCGTAAATTGGCGGCGGAGCACACCTTACAAAAGATCCCCCGGCCCATGACCTCCGTCTCGGTTCGGGCGACATTGGCCTCCGAATTTCCTCTCCAAAAGAGAAGCGCACGCCCCGGCACCTCAGCGACCTGCCGTAGTCTGTGCCGTCCGCGGTGTACACACTGCAGATCTCAACGGCGCCCGCCTGCTTCACGCGGTTCTTCAGCCCTCGCCAGTCCACATCTTCGGATCGGTTCCGAACGTAAGCCAAGAAGTTCTCTTCACGCACATGGTGCCCCCGTCTTTTTTGCCCACGGTGCCCTTGCCACGGCCGCCCTGGCCACCGCCGCCTTTGACGCAGCCAAATTTTGACACCCAGCGTTCCTGCTCGCTCTCGTGCTCCACGTCGCTCTCATCGTTCTCCTCGTCGCTATCGTCATCGTTGGTCTCCCTGCCCCCCTTGCTCCTGGACCCCGAAAGCGGTGCCCAAATGGCCGTGGGATCGTCTGAACTTCCTGTCTGTCCGCCACAATAGAAGCCTGACGAAGTCCCAGTGGCCTGCCTTGGCCGCGTCCTCGCAGGCGCACATAACATACCAGTCGCGTCTTTCCGTCCTCGGCGCCGTCTGCAGCCAGCGGGTGACCTGCTAGGCGCTGGTGTTCTCGATCGCCTATCTAAGGATATCTGGTTCTCCATATCGAATTAGTCATAAATGTTGAGAAAATGTGGAACATCTTTCTAATATAACACGAACTGATGTGATCGTTATACAATGACCAAGCATGACAAGATAACTTACCCATTCAACGAATATAATATGTTATTCGACACTGACAAAGTATATACGAATAAACAGCGAGTTCATCTGGATTCTAAAGATGCCGTTAATGATACACGTGCACGATTTGGGCACACTAGTAGTTTTCGCGGTTGCGTTCAGTCTGTTCTCGCACGCATTCGTCTACGTATGTAACTGATGACGTCTTCTATCTAGCCCCTGCCGTCACTGCCTGAAGGCGGCCACTGCCTGGACTGCGCCCGCGGTTCCACCCTGGTACCTCTTCGCAAGAGGGGTCATGGGGTGGACCTGGCTCTGCTTCTTCCACCTCCACCCTGGTTTCCGTTTGGGGGCGGGGGTCGCGGGGTGGGCCTGGCTCGGCTTTGCCCCTCTCGCACGCACCAGCTCGATCCTGTGCCTGATGGCATCTTGTCCCAGTTCCACGCTGGTCAGCGAATGTAGCTGATGGCGTCAGGCACTCCTTTTCCTCACCGCTGTTCGTCATCACTCTCGGCCTTTCTCGCATACGCTGTCGCCGTCCTGTAGCTGATGATGACGGGGTGCCATTTCGCCTATTCAACGCATACTTGTGGTATCCGCAGCCGGCCACCTATATGCGCATGAACGGCACCAGTGCGCTATCCAGTCTGACTTGCGGCCCGACTACTGCCCTGCTCATTTCTGGATAGATATCGCGAGGTACAACGTGTTTTGGCCACGTGGAAATCTTTACTAACAAGCCCTCGCATACGAAAAAAAAACGCGTCGTAGCCACGCGCGCATGGCTGGCATACGCGGAAGAAGGGATGAACTCCTGGACCATGGTGTCTAGGTAGTACAATCCAATGTTGTTCTGGCTATCGAAGTGGTCGTTTCTGGCTTCTCCTCCTCCTCCTCCACCGCCTTCTCCATGTCTACGTGGCTGATGGCAGTGGGCTCGTGCTTCACGACCCCTCCCCCGTAGCTGATGGCATCGGGTTCGTGCTTTTCTGCGCCACCGTTGTAGCTGATGGCACTGGGCTCGTGCTTCGCGACGCCACCCTCGCAATCGACGACGTCGGGCTAGTGCTTTGCAGCACCCCCCTCGTAGGTGGCGACGTCGTGCTCGTGCTTCGCGGTGCAACCCTCGAAGATGGGCTCGTGTTTCGTTGTACCGCTCTCGAAGCTGATGATATCGAGCTCGTGATTCCCAGCGCCACCCTAGGGCCACGAAGGGCAGCAATGAGGCCACTGAGGGCATTGACGGGGCCACAGAGGGCAGCAAGGGGGCCACGAAGGGCTACGCTGGGGCCACGAAAGGCAGCAACGGGGCCACTGAGGGCGCAAGCGACGGGGGGCCACGAAGGGCAGCGTCTGGGCCACTGAGGGCAGCAGCGGGGCCACAATGGGCAGCGGGGGGGGGGGGGAAAGGGGCTACGCTGGGGCCACGAAGGGCAGCAATGGGGCCACTGAGGGCACGAGCGACTTGGGGCCACGAAGGGCGAACATGTGCCACAAAAGACAACGAGGGGACCACATTGGGCAGCGGGGGGGGGGCACACGGGGCTACACTGGGGCCACGAAGGGCAACAATGGAGCCACTGAGGGCACGAGCGACTGGAGGCCACGAAGGGCGTATACATGGGCCACAAAGGGCAGCGAGGGGGCCACTGAGGGCAGCAGCGGGACCACGAAGGGCAGCAATGGGGCCACTGAGGGCACAAGCGACTGGAAGCCACGACGGGCGTATGTATGGGCCACAAAAGGCCTACGCCGGGGCCACGAAGGGCAGCAATGGGGCCACCGAGGGCACGAGCGACTGGGGGCCACGAAGAGCGAATATATGGGCCACTGAGGGCAGCCGGGGGGGGCACACGGGGCTACACTGGGGCCACGAAGGGCAGCAATGGGGCCACCGAGGGCACGAGCGACTGGGGGCCACGAAGGGCGAATACATGGGCCACAAAGGGCAGCGAGGGGGCCACTGAGGGCAGCAGCGGGGCCACGAAGGGCAGCAATGGGGCCACCGAGGGCACGAGCGACTGGGGGCCACGAAGGGCGAAAGTATGGGCCACACAGGGCCTACGCCGGGGCCACGAAGGGCAGCAATGGGGCCACCGAGGGCACGAGCGACTGGGGGCCACGAAGAGCGAATATATGGGCCACTGAGGGCAGCCGGGGGGGGCACACGGGGCTACACTGGGGCCACGAAGGGCAGCAATGGGGCCACCGAGGGCACGAGCGACTGGGGGCCACGAAGGGCGAATACATGGGCCACAAAGGGCAGCGAGGGGGCCACTGAGGGCAGCAGCGGGGCCACGAAGGGCAGCAATGGGGCCACTGAGGGCACGAGCGACTGGGGGCCACGAAGGGCGTATATATGGGCCACAAAGGGCAGCGAGGGGCCACTGAGGGCAGCATCGGGGCCACGAAGGGCAGCGACTAGGCCACAAGGGGAGGGGCCACGAAAGGCAGCAATGAGGCACAAAGGACGCGAGCGAGCATGGGGCACGAAGGGCATGACCCTGACAGGCGGGCCGAGCGGGCGGATCGATCGTGAGTCTGCGTGATTAGCCAGGAAGTTTCCAGCAAGAGAGCGATTCCTCACGTAAGTTTGAAGAACTCCCCAGCTAACGCGCGATTCATGAATGGCAAGTGCGCGGCGCCTGAGTAAATTGCGAGGAAGCCTCAGGCGGGAGCGCGATTCTTTAGTAAATTGAAAGGAAGTCTCCAGCGGGAGCGGGGGACCGGAGTAAATTTCGAGGAAGTATCAAGCGGGAGCCGCTGTTGTTGTAAACCGGGGGCCAGGGGCACAGTTTGAGGAGGAAGACTTTCCCTGGTAAAAAACAGGGCGCCAGCGCCGGGAGGGGCAATTCAATTGAAAAATACAATGTGCACCGGAGGGGGGCGTCAACAATAATTATTCTTCAGTAGTGAGAGTTCAACGACAACGACGACCACGACCACGACGACGACGACGACGACCACAACAACAACAACAACAACAACAACAATCATTTTACCCGAACGCTCAGTGTTCTCACCAGTGCCAGGGTTTTCATACGACGCCCGCCAATACCCCCACTTTGTGGGGGGGCCGGTTCAAGCTCTACCATATTTCCGAACGACTCTTCGCCACCACCCACACCCAGCTTCCCGCCCTATGACGTTCGGACACTTCACTTCGTGGCATGCGGACGACCGTGGCTACTACACTGGCGCATGGTTTCAATGACTTATTTGACATGTGTCCCGCATGGTATTATTTGACAGGGATGATGGCCCTGGCAGGTGCGCAACCGTTGTTGCAGAAGTTCGAAAAAGTTGCTCGCAAAAGCCCGTTTGACAGAAATGTTTAAAAAGTGTTGGGTTTCCTACGAATCCGCAAGAGCGCGCGGGATGAGATTTTGACATTTTTTTTTTGAAAAACCATTGGTTTTTTGATGTTTTTATGTTAAAATCGCTACGAACACTAAGGTTTTGGAAGGATTTCGTCTTGCGCGCGCGAATGTCCACTTTACCTTATTTTTTGCAAGGGATTCTTGAAGTTTGGTTATTTTAGAACAAGAAATTTCATTTTATAGTGTTTTTTGCAAGGGACAGCGGGGGGGAACAAAACAACCGGATCTTGATGACATCGTATTACCTGAGGCTTCCTCACGAAAATGATGAAAATGTAGCTGCGGCCTAGGCGGCGCAGGGGGGGCGCGCACCAGGGGGCCCAACAATAATTATTCTTTAGAATAAATAATGTTCAACAACAACAACAACAACAACAACAACAACAACAACAACAACAACAACAACAACAATTACTAGCACGTGGGGACACTCCGTTCTCACCAGTGCCAGGGTTTTCATAGGAGGCGGGCAATACCCCCACTTTGTGGGGGGGCCGGTTCAAGCTCTACCAAATTTCCAAACGACTCTTCGCCACCACCCACACCCAGCTTCCCGCCCTATGACGTTCGGACACTTCACTTCGTGGCATGCGGACGACCGTGGCTACTATTCAGGGCCCCGCGGCCGACGACGACGGCGTGCGCGCGCGAAGAAAAAACGAATGTGTCCCGCATGGTATTATTTGACAGGGATGATGGCCCTGGCAGGTGCGCAACCGTTGTTGCAGAAGTTCGAAAAAGTTGCTCGCAAAAGCCCGTTTGACAGAAATGATTAAAAAGTGTTGGGTTTCCTACGAATCCGCAAGAGCGCGCGGGATGAAAGTTTGACACTTTTTTTTTGAAAAACCATTGGTTTTTTTATGTTTTTACGTTAAAATCGCTTACGAACACTAAGGTTTTGGAAGGATTTCGTCTTGCGCGCGCGAATGTCCACTTTACCTTATTTTTTGCAAGGGATTCTTGAAGTTTGGTTATGTTAGAACAAGAAATGTCCACTTTAGCTTATTTTTTGCAAGGGAAAACGGGGGACAACAAAACAACCGGATCCGGACACCCACGTTTTGCCTGAGACTTCCTCACGAAAATGATGAAAATGTGGCTGCGGCCTAGGCGCGGCGAGGGGGCCGCGCACCAGGGGTCCCAACAATAATTATTCTTTAGAATAAATAATGTTCAACAACAACAACAACAACAACAACAACAACAACAACAACAACAACAACAACAACAACAACAACCACAACCACAACCACAATCACATCCACAACAACCACAACCATTCCAACAACAACAACCACAACCACAACACAACAACCATCACCACCACAGCAACAACAACAATAGCGACAACGACAACGAAAGCAGCAGCAGGAGCAACAGCAAAAGCGAAAGCAACAGCAACATCAACATCAACAACAGCAGCATCGTCACCATCAGCATCACATCATCAGCATCATCATCATCATCATCAGCATCAGCATCATCAGCATCATCAGCACCATCATCATTAGCACCATCATCATCATCATCATCATCATCATCATCATCATCATCATCATCATCATCATCATTGTCATCATCACCAGCATCAACAACATCAGCATCGTGGTCGTCGTGGTCATCATCATCAGCATCATCAGCATCACCATCATTAGCATCATCAGCGTCATCAATATCATCAGCATCAGCAGCAGCAGCATCAGCATCATCATCAACAACATCATCATAATTAGCAGCATCAGCAGCATAATGGTAAACAACGGCGATGACGACATCACATACCCATCGTCGTCTTCAGATACATCTGCAGCACCATCTTCATCATCAACATCGTCAACAGCCACGGCTTTCCCAAACCTCGGGACGCGGGGTGTCACAAGTGACGGCCTCCAGAGTCCCCTCGAATAGTCGCCACCCAGAGGGCTGTGCTGGCACGGTGGAGGGACTTACCGCAGGCAACTGGATCTATACCTCTACTTATGTCTATCATATACACACGTATACGTCTACACAGTCAGGGTGGCGAGCCTCCAGTTGTGGTAACCCACAGCGCTCGGGTCGCCGTACTGGTCGGCAACAACATCCATCCACGCGGTCAGCTTGTCCTCGTCTATGCCGTACTTCGACAGCAGCTCGAAGGGCGTGTCGCAGAGGGACACCAACAACTTCACGTCCCGCTTCTTGTTTCCGATCTTGCTCCGGGAGTCGAAGTTCAGGTCGTTCATCAGGCCGATCGGGTCTAGCCCCGAATGGCCAATAGACGAGTGGAGCGAGCTCCGCCGGCTGTTCGCGCGAACGAGCGAAGAGCTACGACTCTCCTTGCCGTCCTTGTCGTCCCCCTTGGAGACACTGATGCCCAAGTTGCCCATGAGGTTGGAGAACGCCTCCTCCTGGCCCTCCTGCGGAAGAACCAGAGGCCCTCCACAGCACACTCTCGGAGGCACGCGCGGAGCTCCCGGGTCGGGGCTGGACACCCCCTGGCGAGCGGAGCGCGCCAGGGGCGGCGCCGGGGACGCCGCCAGGGGGGCCCGGGGGGGAGGCGGACGCCGAGAGCTCAAGCGCATGCCGCTCTCCCCACAGCTGACCATGTACGCGCGGATGCCACTCGCGCAACATCTCCCGCCGCACTCGAGGCGACCTTGCCGCACATCGGCGGGCCCAGGCCCCCGACGTCACGAGGTGTTCATGCGTGGGCCCCGGGAGGTCTCGACCCGTGCCCCGGGACCGGCTTTTCGTCCTGACTCGCTCTTTGGCGGGCCTATAGGGCCCAGCCAGGGCCCCCAGGGGTGGGAAAGAAGCAAGCGACACGAAGAAGACACACTCCGTCGCGATGCTGTCACGACGCGACGGGTTCTGGGCGTTGCGCCCCTCGGCTCCTGGCGCGCCCGGTCTTTCACGAGCGTCGTCCGCATGCACTCCCCGTTCGGCATCGTCCCCCGGCCGAGGTCTTCCACCGCGGCCAGCAGCTGGTGGAGCTTCACCCCGGGCAGCTGCCCAGGGTTGTTGGTGTGGCACTCGCGCAGGAAGCTCACCTGGGGCGCACAGGTACATGCCAGCACTGTGCTAGGGGAACAAAAAGTCACATAAACATAAAAACTCGGAGGTCCGCGCGGATTCCTCGGATCGGCGCTGGACACCCCTCCCTGGCGCGCGGAGCGCGCCAGGGGCGGCGCCAGAGGCGCCGCCGGAGGCGTCGCCGGGGGGCCCCAGCGCCGATCCGAGAAATCCGCGCGGACCTCCGAGTTGTTATGTTTATGCGACTTTTTGTTCCCCTATGTGCGCTCCCCCCGAAGAGGTGCACGTCGGAACCCTACACAGAAGTGCTACAGGCGCCCCTCGTGGCACAGCGCTGCCCAGGCGGTATGGCCAGACCGCGCCCGCCACCGAGCGCACTGCAAGATGTCCGGGCGCGCGCGTCGCCCCAGGGGGTTGGGCGGGGGCTCGGGGGGCGACGCACGCGCATCGTGGGCGAAAAACAACAAATCCGTACCCGCGGCCTCGCGGGCGCGCCCTGGAATCCGCACCGCGAGGGCGCGGATACGGATACGTTCGCCGCGGATACGGATATGTCGCCGCGCCATGTGTTCTGAACGCGACCAGGTAGACGACGCCGGCACCGCGGCAAGCCCACGGCAAACCCTGCGCCCAGGGCGGCGCTTGCCCTGGTGGCCGAGGCGCCCGCTCAAAGACGGAAGGCCGCGCGTCGGAACAGACGGCGCGGCGACGTCTGCTTGGGGCGATGCCGCTCACCAGCTGGCCGTAGGAGCCCACGTACTCCGCCTTCGGGCTGGCCACCTGGGCGGGCTGCGCACCAGTGAGGGGAGGCGGGCGCGAGGCCCGGGATCCCGCGCGGCACGATGTCTGTTGCTCGCTCCCGGTGCTCTTCCCCGATCCCGGCCTCCGGGGCCCGTGGTCGGGCCCCGGGGCCACCGTCCGGGCGGAAGCACCGTCCCGTACGAGTGTGCCGGGGGCGGGGCCTCCTGGGGCCGCTGGCGGAAGGAGTCAGATCGCCGGAGGTCCGGGCGGGAGCGGGCGGAGGGGAGTCTTCCGAGGGGGCCGAGAAGACAGAGGGGGGCCTGGGAGGCTTTCGAGGGTGCCCCTCAGAGGCCTCCCGCGATGACGCACAGTAAAACACCACGGTGGGCCTCAATGTCAAAGCATGAGGGTAGTCGTTGTAATCCATGTTTTTGCTTGAGTCACAGTCCTGCAATGACATATATGATACTCATACTCCTGATAATGATTAGTAGTAAGACCAAAACTACAAGATAAAATCGAAAAAAACTCATAATACCAATACTAATACTGATGATGATAAGAAAGTTAAGCAGGTAAGGATACGAACTACGACTACGAATTATAACACTACGAACAGCAATCAAGACAATACGAATAATGATAATAAACCATAGTAGTAGTAGTAATTAGAATGGCACTCCTAGTAATAGTAATGGTACTATTACGAACAATGAACATAATACGCGTAGTAATACGAATACGACCGCATATAATAACCACATTAAGAACAACAAGTACGAAAAACACAAAAAGAGAGAGAGAGAGAGAGAGAGAAAACAAACAAAACAAAAAAAAAAAAAAAAAAAAAAAAAAAAAAATGCTATCGGCATGTATCAGCGATTTGCCACTCGAAAACAATCAGGACTCTGAAAGACCACTGGGCCTTCTCGGACCGCCAGCTCCTCGTGCCCCCCCCTGTCCAGGGATGGGCAGAAGCCCCCCCCCCCTCTGCAAAAAACGCCGCGTGGCGAAGACGCAGCCGGGAAGCGACACGGCAGGCGCAGGCCACACAAACAAAAAAAAAGTTGCCCTGCGCAGCACCCTCGCGCGGACCGCAGGAGGGAAACGTTTGGCCGTCGACTCGGCAGGGCGGGGGCTCCATCAATTCCTTCTCCTCCTCCTCCTCCTCCGAAGTGCCCTCCCCAAAACGCGGCCGGTGCCGCCTCGTTTCGGCGGCGGAAATCCGCGATTTCCACTGGAACCGGGACCCGTCGCTAGTCCGCGCCCCCCTTGATCCATGTTTGTTTGCGATCGCCTGAATCAAACTCCGACTCTTGGAGGCCAGGAGGCCTCCTGACTCCTGAGCAGCCCCCTGCCTTTCGGGAGGCCCCCGCCCCTCCCCCCCATGGGGGCCTTCTCGAGGCCCCCCCCCCACCCCCCCCACACTTGCACTCGCGACGCCCCGTTCTGCGCTCGCAGGAAGGCCAGTTGAGACCACGGCAGCTCTCCCGCCTGGCCCAGACCTGGTCAAGATCTGTCCCGCTGAGCCCCACTGCAACTCACTTCTACGACAACCCCTCGATGAATCAAAAAACACACACGATGCATGAATTCCCTCGGCGGCGACAGCCCGGGCGGAAAATTCGGAACCACTCGTGCCTGCCAGACACAGCAGCATCCTTGGCAATACGTTTCTCGACGCGGATCCAGCCGTGGCGACTAGAAGCGTCCAGGAGGCCCAGAGAGGGCGAGAAAAACGGCAGGGAGGGCCGGCGATGTCTCAACTGGCCCTCCTCTGATGCGCGCCGCCAGTGGAGGAGCAAAAAATGCCGTAAACATGAACTTTCGGAGCTCCGTGCGGGTGTCTCGGATCGGCGCTGGACCCCCCTACCTGGCGCGCGGAGCGCGCCAGTGGGTCGCTGGAGGCGCCGCCAGGGAATCCGGGCTACAAGAAGTCCGCGCGGAGCTCCGACAATTCATGTTCATACCGCCTTGTTCTTCTTCGACGCCAGCCACCGTGCGCCGCTTGGATCTGTTCCTGTCGGGGGTGGACAAGTCCCCCTGTCGCAGAGCACCCCTTGGTGAAAACGACCCGGGACCAGACCTGGCGGGCGCAGGCCGGCGAAAACTGCGGGCGCAACGACCTGTCGAGAAGCGAAAGAGGTAAACTCGGTGATCGACTTGGCAGGGTGGGGGTTCCATCAAGCTCCAGTCCTGGCGGTGTAATTCAGCGCGGGGCCCAGCCGACCCTCCCGGGACGCCGCCGTGAGCAGGCGCCTCCAGAGCAGCAAGAAGCTGCACAAGCACAAACTTTCGGAGGTCCGCGCGGACCTCTTGGGACGGCGCTGGGCTCCTCTCCTTGGCGCGCGGAGGGCGCCAGGAGCGGCGCCGGAGGCGCCGCCAGGAGGGGACCATCGCAGATCCAAGAAATCCGCGCGGAGCTCCCAGAGCTTATGTGTGTATGCAACTTGTTGCTTTTCGAGCCTCAGGCGGCGACGGAGGACGACCGCCGGGTTCTCGTGCGTGCGCTTCCTGCCGCATCTGCGGCAAAACATGGACCGGAAGTCGCCGGGGGCGCCCCCAGACCCCGGGTGCTCCGGCGCTCAAGGACCGTGCGATCTCTGGGCGTTGCATCCACATCACGCCGGGCGTTTCCGCGCGGCTGCGGGCCCCAGGGCCATCACAGGTCAAGCCGGCTCGACACATGCCGCAGAAAGATAGGGTCTAGTAGGGGGGCACATGCGAACCCTACCTCTACCCCCGCGATTTCTGAGGGGGAGGGGGGGGGTCACTTCGCTCGAGAGCTCCCGGACGAAGTGAACCCCACCCTCCCCCTCAGCAATCGCGGGGGGGTAGGGGCAGGGCTCGCATGTGGCCCCCTGTCCGGGGCTCGGGCCGTGATCTTTTTCGCGATGTTGCACGGCCCACAGAAACAGCGGAGCACACACGGACTCTCAGAGCTCCGCGCGGACTTCTCGGATCTGCACCGGGGCACCCCTGGCGGCGCCTCCCTGCGGCGTCTCCACTGGCGCGCTCCAGCGCCAATCCACGGAATCCGCGCGGGGCTCCGAAAGTGTGTGTTCGTGGAGGGGGAGAAAACGGAGACGATGACCAAGACCGAATGCGGAAACGTCGTCCATCTCGGTCACCGTCCATCCTGGTCAGCGTCAGCTCGTGGGTCACCTTCGCGAATCGGCGACGGCCGACATGGACCGTGCCCAAGATCGGAATCGACAAAATCCCGCGACATTCTGGTCGTGGTCCTCGTGCTTCATCCCTCGATCTCCGAGAGGGTGCCTGGAGGCCGCAGGGGCGCCAGCGCCAGGAACCCTGGGGGCACCCTGTGAGGACAGCACAACCCACCCCGACCCCCAGCCAGGACCCCACCCCCGAGCGGAGCGATGAAAAGCAAGCGGGCCTTGCGCGAGACGGCATAGCGACCTTACGCGGTGCGGGATGGCCGACGCATCTTCTCCTGTCGTTCTGTGCTTCACGCGGTGCTGTTGCAAATCTTCCAGATTGGTACCTGTAACTAAAGGCGGAGAGGTTGCTCGGCAGTCTCAAGGCAATCTCACAAATCCTACGGGGCCGCACCAGGCAGTATACAGCAAGCAGGACAATCGAGTTTCCCCTGTAGCGGCTTCGTCTTCCTCCCACTCAAGTGCCCGACCTCGTTCTGCCGGCTGTCCTTGCCAACAAGGCGCCGTCAGTTCGCTTGGTGGTGAGGCGGGCCTTGTGCAAGGTTCGAACTGCACCTGCTCGTGAGTGGCTCTCTGCGCGTAACTACGGGTCCTTCTTGCTGCAGCACGCCGCTGGGGTTCTCGAGTCAACGGGAAACGTTGGCTGCAATCGTTATCGAGGTCGGATTTCGAAGATGGAGCCCCTGTGGAACTTGCCAGGGCTGCGATGAAGACCCCGCCTTTCGAAGTTGCTGGAGGCCCGTCGTGGCGTTTGCTGCTCTGGCCTCCTCTCTCCCGGTCGCGCCGCGACGCGGTACTTCGTCGTAGCATTTCTGGTGTACGTCGACTGGGCGTCATCCTCGTGTTCGCCGGTCTGGAAGGCTGGTTCCCAGAAGCTCCCTTAACTTGGGTCGCTCTGGAGTCAAGGATGCAGTCAACATGCTCTGCCAGGTCATTCGTGGCGACAGACGAAAAGAACCCTTCCAAGATGTGGCGGATTCGACCGAAGGATGCTTTCCTGAAGATGCTGCGTGATGTGATCAACGACCCCGACTGGAAATTGCGACCCGAGCTCACGCCGCACGACGTGCAGGTCTGATCGTATGCGAGGTCCGCGCCGGGCCCTCTGGCCCACCTCTGGCGGGGACCCAGTGGTGCAAGCGGTCTCCCCTCCGTGTTCTTCCAGGTCAAGAACAAACACTGCGACGATAGCGGCGTGAAGGCGTGCTGTAAATCGGGCCATCCTTGCCAGAGGCGCGTTTTGGATTACAGCACCAGTCCGTATCGCTATGGCTGCGCGGGCGATGCGCGGGGTGCTGATGGTCACCCAGCTAACACAGGAGATCTTCGCGCTTGCAGGGGCGGGCTCTGCAGTCCACGATCTTCAAGCCGAAGTGCTGGCACCTCCAGTCCAGCAGCGCGTGCGCTGCGGATGTCATGCGTGCGACCGCGTTGGCACCGCAGGGGCCGATGTGGAAAGAGCGTTCGAGGTATGCAGCTCTTCCGCGGTCATGCTCGACTGGGCACTCTCGAGTTCAGCGGCAGGGCGGGCCCATGCTTCCCCGTCGGTCCTTGTGCAGGCACTTGTGCACGACCAGGGGGGTACCAGGTCACGCTCGAGCCAATCACACACACTCTGCAGGCCGCGCGTGAGATCACTCTGGCGTGTCTTGGGCCCACTGTGGCCGAACTGCGCGGCCTGGCAATCGGCGGTGTGATGTCGTCGGCTGCGGTCTCAATGCACCTTGGCACAGAGAAGTGCCGCCTCCACGTGGATGCAAACGGTCAGGTTTCACGACGTCTCTGGGCATTTGGTTTTCAATTTCTCCCGGCGATCGCTGGAAGTGCATCAGCTGGCGATAGTACGTCGATGACATGTTGGGCGTCTCTCGGACCTACTGTTTAGAATGCGTTCACATCTATCTGCAGGTATGCTTCGAGGAACAGCTGAGCCAGGTGTTCTCTTCTCATGCCTCACCGACCGGGGTCTCCGAGGAGACCGACCTGGAGGCGCTAGTGCATGGGCAGTCTCTGATCGTCTGCATGAAGAACCCTAGCCGCGGCTGGATGTACAGTGGAGAGGCGGTGGCGGGGGCATTTGAAATGGCCCAAGGACACAAATAAGTAGACACAACCCCCTGGATTCCCCATACTTCCCATATTTTCGGGATGCCAGTCTTCCTCTCCACTTCCCATATCGTCTACATTTTCCCGGGAACCGACGAGCGCTTGTGTCTGTGTGCGCTTGTTCCCTTCTGGACACTGCCAGCTCCCCTGTACGTGCCGGCAGCC